ACTTAACAATTATGTGTACATATATATATATACACACATACATACGTATCGTATCTGCGCATGTGTGTGGATATATGTATGTATGTATGTATGTATGTATGTATGTATGTATGTATGTATGTACGCATGTATGATGTATGTATGTATGTATGTATGTATGTATGTATGTATGTATGTATGTATGTAATGTATGTAATGTATGATATGTATGTAATGTATGTAATGTATGTAATGTATGTAATGTATGTAATGTATGTAAGGTATGTATGTACGTATGTATGTATGCATGTATGCATGCAAGCATTCATGTATGTATGTATCACATATATATATATACATACCTACATACATACATACATACATACATACATACATACATACATACGAGTGCGTGTGTGAGTTGTTGTGTGTGTGTGTGTGTCCACGCACGCAGATAACTAACAGCGCAAGACGCACTGTATTGCTATGTACATGTAATGGTGTCATGCGGGGGTAATTGGTAATTGTTTCGGGCTTTCGAACTTACCACGGCAGGAGTCGATCCACCTCTTTCCGCCCTGAAGGTAGTAGAGCCGGTTTCTGTCAGACCAGCGGAACAGGAAGCCATGTTCATTGAGGCTCCTTCGCTGGTCGCTGACTTGACTTTACAAATTCGAAAGCTCAATACGGTAGGACAGTCATGACATCAGCAGGTCGGCGTGATGCAGGCTGACAGTCTCCAAGTAAGACCTGTCTAGCCAGGTGTCTTCTAAACTGTACACGAAGACTCATCACTGTGAACCGGAAGGATTAGCGTCGGGTGAGCTGCAGGGCAAAACGCCTCGTAAGCAGACACACCTAACGAAAAGTATCGTCACCACAACGGGATTGGTTCTTGTGCGCGCACCCCTTGTGCATGCATCACATACACTAGCTCTCACTTGCCAGGTCCCCAGCAGCGAATGGTTCAGCCAAGGCTTCCTCCAAAGTCCGCTCCACATCAATCTTGCTCAGCAGAGCTGGAATTTGAAGCTGGCTCGCTGCATGAAAGCAGCGCAATCGCTTCCGGAATGCTTTGGGCCAGCCTTTCGACATCAACTTCAGGGCGCTGAATCACGGTCCTTGCAACGTAGAAGCCGTAGCGGACTTGCGCAAGCTCAGCGACCATGCTTGGATGAGATAGGCGGTGCAGCAAAGCCATTTGATCCGTGTCGGAACAGTGTGAAAGTGCCGACTCCACGACATGACTGGCACTGCGGTGAGAGGCGTTTGCCAGCACATCGTGAAGAAGAACCTCCGCGATTTGCGCCTTGTGCTTCACATCCCCATGCTCCAAGATAGACTGTACCACGTGGTGTCCGAAGTTGTGGCGGCAAAGGTCCAATGCCTCGGAGGGATCCTCCAAGACTTCCTCGATGAGGCGGCGCGTCCCTTCCTGAGAGGAGCAGTGCTCCAAGAGCCGGCAGATGATTCGGCAACCGAAACGATGCCGGACGAATCGAGCGGCATTGCCCAAGAGCTCTTTCGCAATGAATGCGGAAGTTGCGGGACTTAGTTGCGTGATGACCTTCTGGATCACATAGTTGGCATGAGGGGAGACGGCGGCCTCCCGCACATGTCCATGAAGCTCGGCGGCCAAGTCCTTCGCTGTGCAATTGCTGGCCTTTTCCATTGCCAACTGCACCACGCGGCATCCGTTTGCATCACGAGACCATGGCCAAACCATGCCAGAGATCTCAGACATAGCCAAGGACAACCCGTCATTGGACTGCAACTGCTGGCGAAGAGCATCGCAGCGCTCTTTGGAGAGCGAGGCACCATCTTCCCCATCCGTGCAGGCGGATTTTTGAATCATGCCTGGTACCCTTGGCTGTGCAGCGCGTGCATACTGCATGCGCCTGCGTCGGCGAACTTGACTGCGTCCCTCCTCATCCTCCATGGCCGGAGCAAGCGCACCTCCGCCAAGCATGTCGGTGTACGGGGTGTAGCCGTAGCCGTTGACATTCGCCATGGGCCCCATCTGAGGGGAGCTTGGAGGTTGAGCCGTCCAGGGGACGGCGTAGTCCTGAGTGTGAATGGCCATGGGGCCTGCCTGTGGTTGCATGAGAGGCCCGGATGCATTCACGATGACGGGCACCAGCATTGTCACATACGGCTGTCCGAGTGCCTGCGCGACAGGCTGCGGCTGAGGCTGGCTGCACGCGAAGGGCTGACTGGGCTCTGCAATGGCCATGACTTCGCACGTCATGCTGACTGCTAGGCCTGGTGCGAATGAGATCAGGCGGGCGAACAACTTCGCAATACTTTGAATTGCGGCTTAAGGCTTGAGCCATGGGTGTTCGACGGGTTTTGGCCTCTCATAATTGGAACACATCCCATCAGCCGGATGTACCAGGACCGCCCGAATGCCACAACCTCCACTTGCTGCCAGACTTCTCGTGGGCGTTCATGAGCGCACGAAGTCCTGCACATTAACTGCATATTCAACTAGCGAAGCTGAGCTTCGGGCTTTGCTATGCTTTGCGGCTGTCCCACCCACCCCCACACGCAAACTTAGCCAATCGCTTTCCAAAGGATCCCGGGCTTTCGCACCGATGGACGTCGCCAGCCCGTGTCAGGCACCCGGCACTTGCGGCAGGAGCAGGCTCTCACACCGTTGCAAGCTCTCTTACTGTCTCCCTGCGTCTGTGCTCCCGCGCTGCCTTTCAATGTCTGTGCCAGCCTCTACAGTATCCATCTCTCCGCCTCTCTGCATCGGTTAGTCTGCCTGGCCGCATGTGTCAGGTAGCTGTGCATACCTTCATGATGCCCTTCATGTGTCGATATGAAGGCATGTACGTCATGCATGCAGACATTGAACCACTTCATCAAGCGGGTATACCTGTACTCACACGCAAGTTCAGATGTTTATCGACTTGTGAAGCTGTGAGTCTTGCATGTATCTGCCTGTGGGCAACCGTTGTGCTGGGCGCATATAATGGATGCCACAAATGCGACAAAGCCTACGCTGACAGGTTACTATGTCGCTTTTGCTGACTCTTCTGCAATGGTCACCATAATATAAAAAGAGTTGTCACAGTGCAAAACCAATCGAGACTCTCGGACGAATGCAGCAGGTCCTTTGCGCACACGGTCTTGCCACTTGGTGCCTGGAACTGAAGCAAGTGCAGATCCACACGGAACATAGTTCGCCTTTTCTCGCCTCGCCTCCCGCCCGACTTTAGACGGCCACGTTCACACCCCGGGGTCCCCCAAAGCCCGTAACTTCGGAACGGGCTCTGCGCATTCAGAGATCGCGCGGAAATCACAGAGCCAGGAGAAGCCCAAGCCGTGCTGACTTGCACGGCGAGAGGCTGTGCTCCATCACCACGGCATGACCAGCTTTCCACTCATCGATTTGTTGCCTCGGCTAGTCGGTTCCTCCCAAACCTTGCCCATACTTGCCCAGACCAGCGTCTGTTTTTCCCGACGATACTTTAGTCTTGGTGCCTAGCATGAATTGGTACCAAACGTGGAAACCTGGGCAAGCGCATGGACTAGCATCGGACATGCCAGTGTTGCGGTTTCGTGAGTTGTCTGCTAGCACCAATGCCCACCGAAGATGCAGCAACTGGTCCTTGAGCTGGCAGACCTGCTTGACGCTCACGTCCTGTCCAGGACCCGTTCATGAAACGGCATATCGCATTTCCCGATAGTGGGAAACCAGCTTTCCGTCTTGCTGCGACCAGGTTTCCGTCGCACTTCGCAGCTCCGCTACCTGCATGGGGACGTCACCGTGGCCGCACTCTAACTTCAGCCGGAAAATCTTTTCTACACCAGGCCTCCTTACGACCTCGCGTGAGACCATGAACTTATCGAGATTCAATCTCCGTCTTTGCAGACAGCTCTATAGCTTCGGACCCCCTTGATGTGAGTTACTTTTCATAAAACTCAGCTTCCGTCATTGTCCTGGTATAGATCCAGCATAATAACAAACCCTGTTGCAGCCAGTCTCTAATCCTGAACCACAAAGTTCCACCTGACTCCATCTCATGCCATGAAATACCATATCATATTGTCATACCATATTATACCATATCATAGCATGCTATATACCATATCATGCCATACTGTACCATCCTGTAACCCTAAACCCTAAACCCTACCATCTTGTCCATTGTAGGCCCAAGCCTCGCATTCCAGCTTCCGGACGGCCGGGGCTGCCCATGCCTCCAGGCTCTGAAGGCGCTTTTGAGCATCGGAGTCCTGCAGTAGAGGAGCCTTGAGAGGGTTCCTTGTGAAGGGTTCTATAGGGGCTACTCAAGGCTCCCAAGTGAAACCTGCGTGTGATTAGCCGACCGGGGGGAAGGGTAAACCTATAACCGAATTAAGAGAATAGGATTTTTCTCCCTCTCGCATGGCAGAGAACTATGCTCACAGGCGAGGTTGGTAAAGAGAGAGACTGCATAAAATTAGATCGCCTTAACTCCTACATCAATTGACAAATGGAGTCGACGACCCACTTCATCTCAGAAACTTGAGTAGACCCTGAAAGATCATTCAGCATCCGAAGACTAAAACCCAGATCGCTCAAAAGAGATGGGAAGGATTAGAACAGGCGGTCTGAGGGTATTTCATACTAATTATAATGAGGAACCCCAAAGAGCACTGGCAACTATAAAAGAGGTATGTATATTATATAAGTCGGGCATGCAGGGGAGCTTGCGCATGGGTCGACTTTAGGGGCTTTTGGGTCTCAGGTAGACCGTGAGGCCCTGATCCACAGTAGTATCGTTTCCTTATTGCCGCCCGCCTTGCAATCGAGGTCGTACAGGGTTTTGGGGTTTAGGGCTTGAAATGAGGCTCCGATGATTGAGGGTTCTATAGTGGGGTCCCCTACTTCCTGAAGCTCGGTGAGGCCTTCAGGCTTTGAGGCCTTTGGGAGCTTTCGGCCCGCTCGCGGGCTTTAGGGTTTCAGGGAAGTGCCTTCTCGAATGAATGCCTTGAACGGAAGATTTGGCATCAGAAAATTCAGAACCGAGATGAAAGGACTCGTTGCCAGTATGCTTTGTTTCACGATCCACGCTCGCATGCCACAACATCTAGCGCAGCGGTTGCGCAAAGACTCCTTCGAGGCTCTCTTCTGCACCTGGCGGGAACCACTTGCGGCACCGCAGAAATTACATGACAGGGACAGCAAACAAGATGCTCTCATGATCATGGTACCATAGCATTCCTTTCGAATTGAGGCTATCCTCGGATTCCTTTCGGCTCCCGCGGCCCAGCCTCGGTCCGCATTCGGGCCAGGCTCATGTGGGTCTCCTGCACACCTTGGGCACATGGCTGAGACTTGAACGGTTTGAAGGCTATAACCCTAAACCCTAAACCGTGTTAGGGTTTAGGGTTTAGGGTTTAGGGTTTAGGGGAACTTTCGAGCAGAGCTTTGGGCTGGCTTGGGATCTCCTGAGCTCCGCAGCGGAAGCTCCAGGCGAGGCGAGGGATCACCGAGGCTTTCAGACATATGAAAAACTGAGTCGATCATCCCAAACCCCAAACGGGATAAAATAATTACTTGGCCCACCACAAGTAAGTACGGGCTCAGAGTTCACGCTCTGATTTAGACTTCGTTCAACTTCTGGCACTCGAAACATGGAGTGCGAAAGCCAAGAAACTCTGCTGCAAGGTAGCGCCCAAACGTTGCTGGACATCCTTGCTCTCTCGGCATTGCTGCTCCATCAGCTGTGAGGTCTGGCGCTGCCTGCGCGGGCTCACAGGAGTGGCTCCGTCCAAGGCCAGGGCGCAGCGGTTCGAGGCACTACACCTTAAACCCTAAACCCTAAACCCTAAACCCTAGAAGTGAATGCTCAAAGGCCGAGCTAAAGACACCAAAGCCAAGGAGCTCGTGCTTCACAAAATCCAGCTCCTGGCATGGGAAAAACTTGTTTGCTCCTGTTCCTCCTTGGCAATAGACATGAAACCGGTAAGGGAGAAGGTTGCACTCGAAGTGGCCGGGCAGGCTCTCAGGTGTTGCTTGTTAAGGTCTGGACTGGAGGTGCTGAAGAAGCCAACTTCAACCAGGCAACCCGATAAGCCATTGGATCCACTAGGGTGAGGCACACCTGACAACCCAAGAAAGAGAAAACAGCCAGAAACTCCTCTCTTTTTCACCTCGGAAGCTAAAAAGCCTTCGCAAGCCGCCACAGCCCGCAACCACACCGAGGCGTCCGGGACCTCGCCTGATGCGCCTGACGTGCGGGAGCGATGGCCGCAGAGAAGCATCTTCGCTTTCAGCTGGACTCGGGGATCAGACGTGCAGCTGACCCAGCTCTCTGGCGGCTTTTCTGTCGCTCCCAAAGGCAAGTCGCAACGGGCGCAGTCGTAGGCGGAACTGTCCATGCTGTTGAGAAAGGAGGCCTCGTCATCACCACTCACCTCCATTTTCAAATCGAGCTTGCTTCCCGATTCTCGCAGAGGCAGCTCAGCCAAAACCCAAGGCTGGAATCGCTCCAAAGATCTTACAGCGCCAGAGATGGCCATGGAAAGCCCGTGCCCAGCAGTGGATGCCAAGCCTAGTCTCAGAAGGTCCAAACGATCCACGGCTCCCAGCAGTTGATCCACACTCACCACCGGCACCTTCCTGTTCTTCTTTCCGGGGCCGAAGAGACGGAGATCGGCAAAGGGCATCATATCGGGCTCCTCCACCATCACCGAGCCCTTGGACACAGCTCCCAGGACTGCTTGGTGGGTGTCGACGTTGGAGACCTGAGCCAGGGCCAGGTTGGCGGTGAGCAGCTGCAGGTTTAGCCTCGAGGGCTCCAGGGCAAGCAGGCGCCCTTGAAAAACCTCTCGCGCCATGGGCACCGTCATAGCACCGATGTGGGCTCCGGCCTCCAAAATCCGACCTGAACCGCCGCCCCCGCCGGGCCCTACCGGAGAGAGGAGAATGCTGTGAAGCAAGGCCTCCTGGCCTAACCAGCTGCCGCAGACCTCAAGCATTCGCCCGACCATGATGTCATAGACATTGTACAGCATTGGCCAGCCTTGTGTAAGCCGCACTTATTTCCCCTGTAAAAAAATGCTCGAAACCTGACAACACTATCCAAAGCCTGGCTAACTGCAAGAGTTTCACATGCAGCCTCTGTCTTTGTATATCTAGCTCGTTGCAGCCCCACGGTAAATACGAGTGATTCCGTGCTGGTATTGCAAACTCACTCTTCCTATTCGGCTCCGACTCGCTGCGCAAGCACACCGGTTGTGCAACACCACCAGCACCGTTATGTTTAGCGCCGGCCTTGTCGTGTGCTGGTGAGTCGATTCCGGAGCATGGCTGGTTTGTCCTTTGCAAGTCTTGGCTCCTGCCAGTCGCTCCTGAAGCAGATGCGGAGATCCTCTTCGAGTCCAGAGCACTCGGAATGTAGTGTTCGCCAGCATTCCTCAGCCTGCCGAAACTCCTTGATGCAGAAGGCTGCACGATCTGGATCTGCAGTCGGCACAGCAGGTTCTGCTGGGCCTGCATGCGAGTAGGCGTTCGTCGCTGAAGTCCGTCGCGGCCGCACTACCGTCTGCAACAGCTGGCTGACACGCTGGCCAACGGAGGCCTGCGAGAAGGTGCTGTGCAAGATCATGCGTGCAGCATTGCGCTCCGTCGGGGACGGAGGCGACACCCAGAACGCGAGAAGTGCTTCAGCCGCAGCGACGCTGTCAGGGGGCGTCCACGATCCCGGTCTGTCATCGCGGCCTCCACTGGGGGCTTGTCGGGGCGTGGGAAGCAGCACCTTTCCCAAGACTACATTCTCGGCCATGGCTGTGGCACCATTCACAATCACTGGAACACCAGAGGCCTGGGCCTCGATCACGGGAAGGCCGAAGCCCTCGGCACGACTCAGTTGCAGAAGGACGTCGCTTGCACTGTAGAGGCTTCGCAGCTGCTCTGGTGACAACCGCTCGCGACTGTTGCTGGCTCCCCCGTCGATCGTGAGGCCCAAGCCGACTTCTGCAAGCAGTGCTCGGATGTCCACAGACCCGTCCAGGTCACAGTGCACGTGCAAGTGGGCTGTGGGCGTCCGGGCACATGCCTCTTGCACGGCCGACCCCTGAAGCTCGCTGCAGAGCTCGGAAATACGCGAACGGATCTTGGCGAAGGCCCGGATCCCGGCCTTGTGAGACTTCCGGTTGGCTTCACCGCTCGGAGGATTGCGTCCCACCAACAGCACGACAAAGGCCTTCTCCGGCAAGCCAAAGGCCCTCCTCAGCCGCTGCCGCGCTTCGCTCTCAAAGGCCAGAGGCCCTTCGGAGAAGGAGGGCTCCAAGGCATGCGGGACATGTCCCAACAAAGGTGGTAGCCGGAGAGGCGTCGGGGAGGCCAAGGCTCGCTCGTAGACGCCCCGACCCCACACAGACATGGCGATGACACCTCCGAAGACTTCTAAGGCATGCCCGGACCTGTCTGGGCGCTCCTTGTCATCGCTCAGGAGGGGGTCGAAAAGAATCGGCAACCAGGCCAGCAAAGGTGGCAGATGCCCACTTACGACAGCATCCCTCACCCGGACAGGAGCGGGCCCAAGCCACCAGGCGTCGTGCAAGTGCAAGATTACATCTGGCTTCCGGAAAGAGCAGACTGAGCTACAGTTTTTCTCTGCGGCCTCCAGCAAGTCCACGGCTCTGAGGACTTCTAACCATCCCTCCCCAGTCTCGTGGCCTGTTGGAGGGGCAATGCGCGATGTAAGTACCGGAACGCCGGACAGCAGCGCGCGTGGATCTCCCCCTGCCTGTTCCAAAGCCTCCGACCTGCCTATGTTGTGCCTGAGCAGAAGCGTCTCGAGATCTTCTGCTGGAGCTTCGCCACGGTGGCGCAGATTCCATGCCAGGAGCTGGACATGCCAGCTCTGCCGCTGGAGTTCAGCCACGAGCAACTGCGCCTGGCCTCCGTATCCCGTCCGACTTATCGGGTGAAGTGTTGACAAGAGAACAGACCTGGGCGGCTCAGTCGGTGTGGCTCTTGCCGTGGCCTCTCCCAACCAGAAAGCCCAAATCAAGGAAGCCATCTCTGGGCGAAGGCTGGCATTACCCGAGCATGCAGGTTGAGCCCGCCATCCACGAAATCGCAAGATGCAGCTAACAAGATGTGCGGATCACATACCCTGCACGGCTTTGACATAGTCAGCCAAGGGCCGGGACATGTCTGTGTTGGCTTCCGCCTTTTGTTGACCCCTCCCCAAATGAAGTTACAGACTTACAGGCAACGTCCTTGCGCAGCTCCACAAGCTGTTGAGCCAGCATGCCAGTCTGGCTCCGGATGAGCTTCCTGCACCCGAGGCTCGGAAAAGCCCCGCTCTCTCTCTCTCTCTCTGACTCAGGGGTCTGTCAGCCGTGCGGGGAAGCCCCTATATTATTATATCATGGCAAGGATAAGGACAATGACCAGAGTAAGTGTTCTTAGTGTTCCGTCGCGACACAGACTGTGACAATGGCCAAGATCGTTTTAAGTTTCATCACTCTCTGCAGCAGAGGCGCCATTGAGTCATCATCAGATCAGCTTGCTTTTGGTCCTTGGTCTGCGATTACTTTCGCAGCTAGCTGAAACAATGGGACCCTTGTGCTGAAGGCTCCTAGACAGGGACTGAAACCCCAAGCTTAGACGTGCCCAGTATCCTTCAACCAAGGCTCCACTGATTCGAGCTCCTGTGCCCACTCAAAATGTTGTCTGGCAAGATCTGCTGCTGGCACAGAAGTGAAGGAAGTGCTGCCACTGCCTAGGCGCAGTCAAATCGCTAAGACTAACCATGATCATCAGAGCCATCATCAGCGTCAGAGCATCATCATCATCACCACCATCATCATCATCATCATCTTGGTCCTTACAGCAATAGCCGTAAAGTGAGATTGGCAGTAGTAGTAGTAGTAGTAGTAGTAGTAGTAGTAGTAGTATAGTAGTATAGTAGTAGTAGTAGTAGTAGTAGTAGTAGTACGTAGTAGTCACAAATCTAGGAAACATTACAAATATTAAATATTGAATATTACAACAGCAACAACAGCAACAAGTAAGAATAGTAGTGATAGTATTAGTTAATAGCAGTGGTAGTAATCATACTAACCACGACAATAATGACAATAGCACTAGCAATAATAAGAACCATGGTAGAAGCAATACTAGCAAAGGTAGCTAGAAAAGTGATGCTAGTAATAATAGGTTAATGGTAACAACAATAACGGTAACGTCAATAACCAAAATTGCAAAAACAAGTAGGTAACAACTGACCATTAAAGAAGTTCCAAGTAGCGACTAGCAGCTAGTAAAAATGGGAAGAAGCAGATCAAGCAGAATGGATGATCATGATACGAAGAAGACGAATAGGAATAGTCCTCGTACGTCCCGGTCGGTGGCACGCCGTAAAGACAACCCAAGTACGTATATTTTCCAGGAAAGCATCCTACGCAAGGACGAAAGTCATTCGAATCTCAATGATTCCGGTAACCTTCACAAGCAAAGCACAGTTTACACATGTATGTATACATGTGTGTGTGAGTATGTATAATATTAACAAATAGTAGCACATATTATATATTGTACTATATAGTCTATTATATATTCTGTTATATACTAAAGATGGGGGAGGCCTGGAGTGTGGAACCTGCCATCCCGGATCGGTGGAGTCATGAGGGAGTCGTCTTCCAAGAATGAGCCATGGAGGACCTTAGCTGCCGACGGCCCGGCGTCCGGGGACGAGTCGAAGGAATAAACAAAGAATGGTGAGGAGACGGAAAGACAAAGAGACCCCGAGGAAACAGCTGAGAACCTCGAGGTTGAAACCTGCAACGCAATGCAATGGCAATGATGGCATTGACATACATTCCCGAGATACCAAGAACGACAAAACCTTTGTCTCCTCGCAGCGACGACAACTGCAACCGCGACAGCGACGACGGCCACTACCCCTCCCATCACCACCTACCACGATGATGCTGGCATATCCTAGTCCCAAAATCAGGCCCGTCCCATGAGGCTCCGGGCAGCTCGACTCATTCCTTCGGTCTGGAAGGAGTGATCCGCATCGGTGGTTCCAGGGGTCGCCTGCTGCTTCGGCTCGGAAGGGTTCTGTTGCGTTTTTGTTCGTCGCCCACCGGTCTAGGACGAAGCCCGCATTTCACGGGGTTTTCCCCCCCCAACCCAGCTGACCAAGTCGCATGGCGGGGAAAGGCCCCGACTTACGATTTGGACGTTTAGGTTCAGTGTCATTGTAGTAGTAGCACTGCAATATTCGCCATACTCTGTCTGATGACTTGGACTTGTTGCACTCAGGCTTACTCAACGGGTTGTCTCGCGTTTCGGACGCATCGAGAGGTTACAACGCACCATCAACACAGATATGAGACCACAAAAACCCGGCCCCTGGAAGCCAATGGCTTTGTTCAAAGTCAGGAATCCCTCGATATCACCTCTCTGACATCCCAGAATGCGCAGGCAAGGCACATTCATGTGCATCATCGGAACCGTCGAATCGGAGAGGAAGGACTCCTGGCACTCTCGAATCCCCGACCTCCCTGGTATAAGGGAATAATGCAGCAACTGAACGGCAAATATGCGTGCGAGCATCTTTTGCATGCCCAGCTCAAGATCCTCGTACACTGGGATTACACTGGGAAAGGCGGCTGGCCCAGCTCATGATTCGCCAAGGATTGCCACGGAGGCTGCAGGATTGCGTGGCGCATCGAATCGTAACACAGGGCAGCCTCGGAATTTCGAAGAGCCATCGTCTGCCAAGGCTCTTGAGATAAATCACAGCAGGTGTGGATGTCGCGGCCAGGCAGTCTTTGGTTGCTCTGAGAATCTATTCGTCAAAGGATTTTGCGGGTGCGTCCGTCAGATAAAACCAGAAGATCTTGGACTTCCAGGCATCTGCCTATGTCATGCCTCCTGTACCAGCTTACTGTGTTGGGCCGCAAGAGTGACAAGACCCAGGGCCATGCCGCCTAGGAGGCCGTAGCAAAGAACGAAAGCCTGACTTCTTTCTGGTACTGGCCCGGTTTGAGACTGAAGGCCCAGCCATGGCACTAAAACCAGGCCGAGCAAACTGGCGCAAGCAATCGGGCAGGAGGCCATGGCGACTGCAACTTCGAGCACGGGCCGAAGACTCAGAGGTCGCTATCAGAATCTAGTCACAAGACCGAACGAAACTCGGGGCGCATCAGCAGCAAAATTCTTTATTTAAAAAGGTGTCCAGTGTTACATTCCTGGGTGTTCTTGCAGAGGATTCTACGGCCCGTGTGGGGTCGGAATGCTTCGTGTCCTTGGTCGCATTACCCCTTTGACCGTCGCAACAACAGATCCCAGAGTGGTGCAGATGCCGGCACGAAGCTCCTCGGCGCCTTTGCCCAGAGGACCTCGGCATCTCGCCGTGTCGTCTCGTCCGCTCTCCCTCGCCTCTCTCCCTTCTCCTGTAAAGGTCGGGATCCAACAGATCCACAAGGAGAGACACATCTACTGGTATCTTCATCAAAAAACCTTCCATACAAAGCTTGTCTTCTCGCTCTACTCCCGCGCTCACTCTCTGTCTTTCCCGCTTCTCGTCTTTCTTTCTGCGGACTTAAGATCCCCCATTCTCTCTCTCTCTCTCTCTCTCTCTCTCTCGGTTTTCTTGTTCTTTTCTGTGGGCTTGCATCCACCTCATTTCTTGGGCTCAGCTTTGGTCCCCTTATGTCCCCTTTACAATGGATTGGGCTTTGTGATGAGCCTTTCCCCTTCCTATTCCCCCTTCATATTCCAAGGAACAAAACACAAAGCTTCAACAACCGATACACTGGTTCTCTCTCGCTGCATCCCTCGTTTTCTACAAGGTCTGACTTCCAGTAAGCCCTGAACGAATTCCTACTCTTCGGTCGCAGTGGGGAGGCTCTCTCTCTCAGCGATCGTCCCTGGGCGGGGCTTCGCTGGACTGCCCAAGCTGGATTCTGCGGCTTCTCTCTCGCTTCCGTCCCACGCAGCCAGACATACGGGGCTAAGCCTGGAAGTGTCTACTAGCTGCTTGCTAAAAAGGAAATAAATGCCCTCGGCGTGGTCGCAGCCAGGCTGCTGTTCTCTTTTGCTTCCGGCTCTGGATCAGGAGCTGGCTCCTTCCGTGCTCTCTCGAGATCTCTCGAGAAATGGTGAACTACGTCCGCACAGCTTTTCCTCTCTGCAATGGCAAGGTGAGCCGTGCAGTGTCCTCGACGGCGGGTGTGCCGACAGCTTCCTCAACCTCCTCCACAAGCACATCTTCAGCTTCTGCAGGGGCAGTGCTTGCGGCCATCACTGGGCCTCAGTATGCCGTCCGTTTGTGATCTTGAGTCACCAACAGAGGGCCACCAGATGATCAGACACTGCATCGGATCTATATGAACTTCAAGCTGCCCAACTATAGATTTCTGCAAGGACCACTAGCAGCTTCGACCGGGTTCGCGGCCGTCCTCATCGGCTTCCAAATCAAGATTGCAGTCCTGTCGGACACATGTGGGGCGAATCGGCCTTGCAGCATCCCAACTTCCCAACAACGTTGCATCCTCAAGCCCAACAAGCATTTTGCTCCTGCTCAAGGAGCGCCATGACGAAAGCTGCCCAACAGGCTTCTGGGAGACTGGACTCTGACGATGACATTGCAAGAACGACCGGCAGCCAGTCCCGCGTCTTGCATGCACCCCTGATTGATGACAACGTTGCTGACCATGACATGTCACCATTGTTTGCATTCGAATGACACTGCCGACAATCAATGTGGCTGCATCACAGAGTGATGACCCGTGTTCTAAACATGATGGCAACTGTTTGAAGCCAAAAGGTCCAGGTAGCGGCACAAATCGTATTGGAGTTCCTGTGCTCCTCTCAGAACATGGCAGCCTCGCATTCAGGCGACCTGCAAATACCCTGTGGCTACTGCGCCTAGTGCACCCGATCTTGCGCCTCTGAAGACTAGGTGTACTTGCATGTCATGACTGTTAAAAATCGGTGTGGCAACCAATGTCTGTGTTAATGGAGCGTCTAGAAAACCAAGACGCACAGACTTCGCTACAACGACAATGCCTCTGAAAAAAGCATGTGCCGGAGGTGCGGTAGGGGTATGTAGTGCAGTAACCTCGATCCTGTGCAAACCATCAGGAAGCGATCCCGGCTGCGCACTCGGCAGTCTGCAAGACTCACTCTTTAACCCACGAAACCACGTCCAATAAGCCTCTTCAGAACCCTCTGAGAGCGTGATGGTCCCGCTGACATCCACGAAAACTTTTGTGATGTAGTGAAACCTGAAGTTTTGTGCGACACTTTATCGCGAGGACTGGGGTGGCCTGCCGGGTGGCACACTGCCGCTCGTGGGCGCGGGCGTAGAATCCAAAGCCACGCAAGCCTGTGAGGTGGGGGTGGGGTTCGAAGGCTCTTTAGAGCGCTTTGGGGATTTACAATTTCCGTTCCGAAGAGTTTAAGTGCTTGCTCAACCAAGTGCGTGTTCGATCTGCGTTGGTCTCATTTCAAGGTTCTGGTGGCAGGGTTTTGAGTTTCAGGAGCGCTTGTCTTCTTCGCTTGCTATTCATGTGCGACGACAGCCTCAGGGACTTTACCACGCAGCAAATCAAGTGGCGTGTTCATCCGTTTTGCAGCCTGCGACTGCCTGTGGCCTTGCGCAGCCTGCCTGATTTCTCCGGATTCCGTAGCCCGCTTTGGCGCTAACACGCACGAAGCATGGACAACTCCCAGAAGGAATCAGAAGGAGCACCTCGAGTGCCTTTCATCCAGAAGCCTTCGAAGATCAAACCGACGTTCCGGCCTCCAATCCAGCCCAGCTTAGCATCACAGCCTAGGCGCTGGAAGGTACCCGGCCGCAGAGCGCAAACAAGGTGATTCTGCAGTTTCGCGGGATGTGACTAGTTGTGGCAAGTTCTTTCGAACCACAGTTGCAAAGTGGGGCGTCGTGGACAGAGACAATGTGAGCTACTGCCAGGAAACTCTCTAACGACCGTACAGAACCTGCTACTGCAAGGTGCTTTGTCTCCAGCTCGTCATGGAATGAGTGCTGCACCCCTGAGCTGCAGACGATGGCATCTCTGTCTTTGGGGCATGGCTGGATGGGTCTGAGCTATGACCCGCTGCAGCCCGTTAATCGGGTCTATATTTGGTGGTTGTTGCGTGCCTGTGTTGCATGCTGCCTAAGCTTGCACGGGCGGGACACATCAAAGCTGCACTGTGCTTTTAAAGTGAGCCAGAAAGCTGCAAGCAGATGCGGGCGAGCATGTGGCTCCGTTACTGATGACGCGACAAAAAAGAGAATGCTCGGGAAGCCTTGCGGTTTCTTTGCAGCTGAAGATCCTGACTCCAACCCGAACCCAAGCACGGAAGCCGGGCGCATCTGCAGATACTCTGCGCGGGACATCTTGAAGAGCCAAGCCTTGCACACTGGCGACTGTCAGAAATTTCAAGCATCTAGATGAGGGCGGTCGTGAAAATCAGATGCCACCCCCAGAGCCATCGTCGGGGTCAAGCAATCTCGCCGATAACAGCAGCAGCAGCACCGTCCGACCATAGCGCTGCTTCGTCCGAGTACCGGAACCATAGCAGCACAAGTGATTACTCCTCGATTCCTTCGCAATCAATGATGGTCAGGATGACAACCTCCCTCTGCTATCCACAAAGGGTTCTCCTTGGTTCTGTGTGCAAGTGTCCTGTATTAGTTGTGTTGCTGGTTTTGGCTGCAGCTTGCATGCGCTCGTCGTCGGTGTGGTGCCACTGCCAGTGCTAGTTGAGTGGCTGACAGGTGTACTTGTGCTAATTTGGTTTGACCATCTGTTTAGTTGTGTATATACGGGGTCCTCGCCTAAAGGCAGAGGTCTGTCTATTGTTTGGGCCCGCCATCCTCTGCTGCTTTGAACCCCTCCCTCTCGCCTTTCACCCCGCTGCTCTTGCCCTTGACGGCGACCAATACTAGACAACTACGACTACGGCCATAACTATTGCTACTGCTAATGCTAGTACTAGTCCTATCCACTCCTCCTCCTCCTCCTCCACTCTCCTACCGTTACTCCTACCGCGTACTAGCAGCACTAGTCGCACTACTTGTAGTAGTACTAGTAGTACTCGCAGTACTAGTAGCAGCAGTACACTAGTACTACTGCACTACTGCACCACTGCACTACTACTACTTCTACTACTACT